GCTGCACACTCGCACACACATCACTGCTACCAATATCTATACTATTATATACACATTCTTTTTACATGTTATTCACTTACGTTCTTCGTTTGTTTCTTTTAAAAATTAATATATTTCAAGAAAACACAGAGAACAACAACAAAAAGTATTTCTGTATACTAGTATTAATTTTATATAAATATTTTGTGATACATATTTATTTGTATATAAACATTTAGCTTTCCTTATATACTTATGTATAAATATAAGATTTATTTAAAAAGTTACGTAGACTTTATATTTTATTATACTTATTGAGATAACTCACATTAACAAAATCTTGGAGATATTTATGCTAAATTCACATTCACAAGTTTTCCAATCCAAAATTCACACACAAACAGTAAACAGAGAAGGGTAGCAGAGATGTGTATGCGAGCCGCATTTCAAAGTTGTTGGGTGATCGCGTTACCTTCCGCTCCCTTACCGGTCTCTAAATTACTAATCACCCAACAAACAAGTTTGGCATTTCAATGGCGTTGTAAAGCTGTGTGATTTTTTTTTTCAAATTTTCTTTTAGTTTTTTTGAAATGAGGGAACAGTGTCCTATTCTCAGATCGCCTCCCGGACTCGTATCCCTGTCGCCGTAATGTTGTTTTATTTTATTTGATGCTTTGCCTTGGTAGTGTTGGCTTTAACATTGGTTCGTCGGTGGCTGGTTGTGGTTATTGTGGTGTGCTAACACTTCTAACATTAGTGTTTGTAGTCTGTTGATTTGCATTATAAATGTCGTTTAGTTTTAAGTTTAAAATTATTTTAATATTACACTAATGCTTAATAGTCCTTCAGGGACTATGAATACACTTAGTGTAGAAATTAACATTGAAAATTGTTGAAAAAGTTTATTGTTTGTCTTGTAGATATCTGATTTTGAAGTTAATAGTGTAAACTTAATGTCCTACAAGTATAATTTGTAATAACAAAAGCATGTAATAAATATGATAGGTTTTAGGAATTTAATTAGTATGAGTTAACAGCAATAGTTTCTGTACAAAGTTTTTACACTGATTAATTCTTGCAATATAATATTGATTGGTCAGGCAATATTTGAATATTTCGTTCGAAAATAGCAATAACATCTGTCTTATAATGCATATTTTTTTTTATATGTAGTTATTTAGTTATTTCAGTTCTTATTTTTTCCCTTATTTACTCGTTCACAAATATATTAAATTTGAAGTACAACAATTGCAAATACAGCTTTAGGTAAACTGCACAAAAACAGTTACAAAAGCATAAGAACAAACAATCAATCAATATGTTGTAAAATGAAACTAATGAAACATTTTTTTTTAAATCGTAGATAAATTTTGTAACAAAACACTAAATGCTAATACAGACTTTATTTTTCCAAAATCTTAGGGAAAACTTCCTTTTTTGGCAACTAAATAGAATGGACATAAATGTCCATTCCTGACTTGTTCTTAGAGGTAGCAATTAACGAATATATTCTTATAATCCTGATCAATAGTTGTTCAATTAACAATGATTTCTATCTGTACGTAATTTGGATCACGTAAAGTTAAATTTTAATAACATATATTGGTTGCAACTTTTTACAGTCTTTAAATATGAATGTTATCTGTTTTCTGTATCTGTTAGTCTAGAAATCATAGGTCCCTTTTAGGTCTGTCTTTTGATAACTTAGATAATGTCGTCTATTCAGACTCCTGGACGGACGATCAAGATAAAGAAGATATAATTAAAATTAATACATTGATATGGGGAGTAAAATTTGCACAATATATTTTTTTATATCTCAGTATTATAAATGTACCTTATGTGTCTTGTTTAAATTTAAATAGATTGAAATTAGTTGCAATTGTTGTTTGAAAATTAAATGTTGAAAGTTGATAGAGGTATTACGATGGTTTTTTTTTACATAAATTACGTTAAGATAGTAATGTGTGGTGTGGTGGGGTTGCCCTGGCCGGCAGTGGCAGTGGCCGGC